TCCCTGCATGGTTTTGCACAATCACTTTTGACCCCCCATAAGTACTATATCCGAAAAACCGCAGTGGAACGGTGCTTGCTCATGCCACAAATTGATCAAGTCCTGAATCGTGCAATCACCATCTTTTGTCTGCTGAAGGAGGATCGGAGCATACAGGTGGCCACTGTCCTCGGTGGCTGCTTCAAGCCTTGACTCCCATTTGGAAGTGGCAAATCCACCTCCATTCCCATGCATGGCATGTCGAAGCCAGCCAACAAACTCAGCAGAATCCTGCTGTGTCCCCGGCTCATGATTCGTGAACCATGAGTGCAAAGATGGCCCAAACAGCTGGTGTCAGTCAGTACCTGATGTTGGTTGCTGCATGAAAGCAATCGAATCAAAGGATCTTTCCATTCTCCTATCGCATGCCAGACAAAGGTGTCATTCAGGCAGCAGGCCCAAATCTCAGCCAACAATGCTGCATTCATGTAGCAAATGTTGGAGCCGTTCCCCAAGGAGAGTGCCAAAATGGCTTTCCTCATTTCATCAAGCGAGCTGGAATGGCCTGAGCCAATGGTGACCTCTGCAAGGTCGATGGTCGGATTCGAACAAAGATCAGCTGCGTAAGCCCGCTGCCTGTCAATTTCTGTAGGGCAGCGTAGAGATCTTGGGCCGGCTGACCCCTCAGGGAGATGTCCAATCTCCAAGGCACAACCACTGAGTCCGTCACCGTGGAGTCCTGAGGCATGGGCTTCAGGGCGGAGAACCGGTGGATGATCAGGTCCGCTTGAGCTGCCAGAGAGTGAATCTTCTGGATCAAGGCTGCGACTTCGTCGGAGGGGAGGGGATCTCGGGCTGCCGGCTTCAGAGTCTTCTCGTTGGAGTCCCATTGGAGGTAAATCCATGAGTTGGTCGCCGTCAATACTTGCTTGTTCTGAAGGACCCGGATCAGTTCGTGATCGTTTGATCCGAAGGGCAGTTTCGATGCTCGGTAGGCCAGTTCCTCGAACACAGAGCGAAACATATGTTGCCTCAACGAGGTGGTGACCTGCCCCGACTCCCGTTGCCCATGCCAGTCCTTTGATGTCTTCAACATCAGTGGCAGAATGTTGCCTTTTCCTGCTTGGACAAAGAAGATGAAGCCCTTGTCGAGATGGATCTGGTTCAGCTGGTCCTCCTGCCGAAGTGTCAGCTTTGCTAGCATGGAGATCAAGTTGCCATCTTCTCCCAAGTCCGAAGCCGATGAGCGCGAAGGCTTCCTCTGTCCCTTGCGTGCAGGTCGGCGGTCTGATGACCTGTCCTCCTCCTCCATTCTTGGATTTTTTGCAAAGTGACTTCCACAAACATCCATCAGCTCTGCAAAAGACTGATCGTCTCCGCTCATACGTTCCATCTTGGAGGCCAAATGCAAGACACCGATGGAATCAGTCTTGGGCCAGCACGTGTTCAAGTTCATACAACAGGCTTTGAAACTGAAAGTGCTGGATCCAGGCGGTCGAATGGAAATCAATGTCAACATATTGCAGGAGTTCCTGATCTGCTGAGTCCCAAGCCCAGTGGCACGGAATCACCATCGTGCAAAGGTCCAGAAGCCGGTGATGCAGTGAGACCTCAAGATCAAGTTGCGGAAGGTCGGTTAAGTGGGTCATCCAATGGACAAATGCATGAAACCATCTCTGTCGAAGCTCTGGCCAAAAAGGGACGTGGCAACACAGGACGGTGGCAGAGGTCATGGATGCTGTGGTCAACAATGATCAAGACAGATCACGAATGTATGCAGGTGTATCATCTGGCATGCACAGGGCATTGACGACCAGGACAGGCCTCCCTGATGTTGGATAGCTGGTCGAACTCAGTTGCGCGGGGTCCGAAGGGTCGGGTGCCTCAGTCAGAGCAGTCGTCTTCACGGTTGGACCAAAGTGTTGATCTTTGACCCATTCAATCAACAAAATGGGGCAGCTGGCTCGCTGGTAGTGCAAACGAAGTGCAGCCTCTGACGTGTAGGTGGTATGGCAATGTGCACATGCCAACCGTCCTGGGGTCATGTCTCGGCTAGGTCGAAAGACAAAGAAAGGTGGTTTCACAACCTGATGCTCTTTGGACAAATGATTGGCTAAGGCTTTGCGGCCGACCGTTTCCAAACACAGCGGGCATTGAAAGGATTTCGAAGGATCCTCGAATGGCTGGCAAGGTTTGTTCAGCATAACCGGAACTGTGTCTAGTTTCGGAATCTTGGCGACACGAACAAGTTGTCCATCGGCCTGAACTTCATGGCCATGGGTTGACAAGTGTCTTTCAAGGCCTGTTGCTGTCAGGAATCGAGTGTGACAGTGAGGACAGGAATGCAGTGGTATGGTTGAAGCATGAGACTCGTCAACCTCTATGGCACGAGTGGCAATCGGATCAGGTCTCGTCTGCACAGCAGGAGCAGCCGTAGGTGAACCTGTCGTGGCCGGCGTCGGCGGTGGGATGGTGATGGAGCTGGGTGCATCAGTGGCTGTCCTGGAGGCTTTCTGCATGACAGGCATGATGGGGAAGTGTTCAGGTTGAAAGGTGTACCCCATCATGATCGAAATCTGAAAGAGGACATCACATTCATGTGCTCGGGTATCACGGCATTCATTGTCACAAAAACTGCATCTACCTCGACCGCCTCCGATGTTGGCCATTCCATGAACGTGCTCCCGAAAGTGCTCAGCTAATGGAACCAGGTCCGGATGGCATTCCGTGAAGTGCTTTCGAATCGAGCGAGCTGCAATCCGCATGGGACAAAAAGTGCAGTGATTGGCAATCTCATTGATCAAAGCCGTGTTCAACAGCAGACCTGGGACAGACTTATGGCGCAAACGCATTTTGAGATCTGGTCTGTTGATAATTGGCACGATCGACTCCTGAGCGGGATCAAAGCGAGGACATGTATGCTTTTTAATATGGTCACGAAATCTGTAGAAATCAACGAAGACATGTGAACAATGTGTGCAAATCGAACGGCCTTGCCATGCATCTCGTAAAGGCTGAAAAATGTCGTCGGGCTCACACGGCACTTGATGAACTTGTCTCGTGTGTCGTTTCAGTGTTCCTGCCTGCTGAAAGGTTCTGTGGCATTCCGGACAGGCCATTGCCTGAGTGCCACTCACGGAGGAGTGTTGATCAGGTGGGGTGACCAAGGGTTCAATCCAGAGATCTGGGACGAACACACACACACATCCGGCATCTCGCTGTCCATGGCTGCAAGGCGGAGGTGTTCCCGTCTGGTCGACAGGGCCTCTTGAATCTGCCGTCTTTGTGTGAGGATGGTTGTCCATGGAGGTGGTTCATGAATGCGTTCAAAGAAATGTGCGGTGGATTCATGAGTGAGACACACAGGTGAGTGTGCAATCGTCCGGTGATGAGTGTTGATCATGCTGATGAGTTGTCGAAATCCCTTCTGTGTCAAACCCATTTCATGAATGCCATATTGAACAGTGGCAAGAACACATTGCTTATACAACTTGAATCTGGTTCGAATTGGGTGGACATCACTCGCAAGCCAGGACCTGAGATTGCGGAAGCACCATTTGGCGGCTGTGATCCTACAGGCAGTTGTATCAGCATCCCATGCTCTGTATCCTATGATGATACCGAGATACGTTGTTTTCGACACGAGCGGCAGCTGCCAACGACGTTCTGGCAGATTCAGCACCGGGCCAGTGGTCGGTCGACTGACCCAGTGTCGAAGGAAGGCGGGTGCCTCTTTCCCTTGGAGTCGAAGCATGGCTACCGACTTGTGAAGGTTAACATTGAACCCGAAAGCCTGAAGGGTCATTAACACATGTTGAAGGTCAGTGAGAGCTTCAAGGGCTTGGGCTGTCGATCGAATTATCCACCGAAGGTGAATGTCATCTGCGTAGACAACCATGTGCTCGTGGAGCCATGTGTGTGAGTATTTGGTCTGGAGATCAACAAGCACCAGGCTCATGGTCAGTGTCCACAGTAAGGGGGCATCTTTGGCCCCCTGTTTGATTCCCCGATGTGCCTGGATTTGTCCGATCAATTGCTTGAAGGGAATACAGTACTTATGAGGGGTGAGCCACGAATGCACAAGTTGAAAGAGGTCAGAGTCCAAATGGTACAACTGTAAGGCTCGAAGCACTATGGTTCGACTGACCGTGTCAAATGCCTTTTCCATGTCTAATGAAACCTGGAGGCCTCCAAGCAGCTTAGGCTGAGGACCAGTCTTGACATCCTTGCACATCATGCGTACACTTCTACAATGTTCTGCTACTATGAGGAGATATTCACGTGTTCCTCTGTGAGGCAAGTACGCATATAGCGGAAGACATCTAAGGCGGTCGAACGTCTGTTGAACGATCTGCCTGCATTGGATTCCGGCAAGTATCTTGTTGACCGGGTGTTGGAGACAGATCGGTCTGAGTGCCTGGGGTTTGCTTGGGCATTTATTGGGTTTAGTGAGGAGGTGAATCCATCTTGTTGTCCAATGATCCGGAAGGAGGATGGGAGATCTAAGCCAAACCTGCTGAATCTGATGCATTAATGGATCAACAAGATCATGCGCGAAATGCTTCCAGATTAAAGCTGGCAACCCATCAGGCGCTAGGGCCTTGGTACTTGGCAGGTGCAAAAGCTCAGTGAGCACATCCTGGCGGTCAAAAGGAAGTCTGGTCAGCGGGTCGAGTTCCGGAACATCAAACATCGGATCTGCAAACAGGTTGGTGTAATACTGTTCAATGGAATCCAACTCCTGTCTTGGTGCTAATGGCTTCCTGTACCAGTCAAAAATGCGGCCATGTAGGGCAAGATCAGCACCCTCAGTGAGGATCGTGTGCAATTTATCCCTCTTATTCTGTCGACTCTGTTTACGAATGGCTTTGTGGAGGGTTCTGAAGGTGGTGACATGAGCCCAACACTCAAAAAGATCGCGGGTAGTGCGCCCTCGAACGGCCAGAGCTTGCTTGCGGGCATTCCACATCCTGGCAGCCATGGAGGGGATATGCGGTGCATGAGGTACCCGAGGTTTCCGTTTGGGAAAGAAAAGGGAACAAAGGGTTCGAAGTTCTTGTTCCAAAGCGAGCATGGAGACCTCATGATGTTGTTGAGGTGGAGAGTGTCTGGCTATGCACTGACGAATCTGAACCTCGAATTGCTGCCAATGAGCAGTGTGCTCAAGTCTAGCCGTACGAATGGCAAATCTATCAATGTTATTAAGTGGGAGCACCGGTTTCCGAGGCGCATACCACCTGGGTAGGACGAAGAACAACGGATGATGGTGTGGTCCAAGACAACCAAAGTTGCGCATGAAATTCCTATCCAAGGTGGGTTGCATACGTCGAAATTGAACCTGATATTGTCGAACAAAAACATAATCAATGCGAAAATGATGGAAACCATGTTCGAAGGTTGATGCATACTGCTGTTTGCAATGCAAAGCAATTAGGTCCTGTGCTCTTAGCAGTTGCTGTAGAAGGTCACGATCGGTATGAGTGCTTGAAGAGGCACGTGCATCATGGCTATTGATGTGCGGTGGATCGAACTTGAGGGTGGTATTGAAATCACCCATCAAGACCATCTGGTGCTGCTGCGGAACATGATTCAACAGTTGCTGCAAACTATTCCAAATCTTGGCACGATTATCTAGGAGCTGATCTCGGCCTTTGGAAGCGTTCCATGCATATTGATATACAACGATGAAGTCATATGTGCAGTCCAAAAAGAGGCGGATCTGTAGAAGTCGGCCATCTGAGTGAGAGGCCGTGGCAATCTGTTCAGGTCTGGGCAGGGTATTGCGGATGAGTACCAGAATGGCTGCATGCTTCGTCGAGGAGTGGATACAATGCCATCCCTAGGACGTCCAGGTGGAGTTGAAATTCCATCCAATTTCTTGCAATGCGATGATGTCCAGCGGCTGAGAATTGCACCAATATAACAGTTCGTTATGCACCAAGTTTTTCGATGCATTCTAGGTCATGCATCGAATGCCTGGAGTCGTTTGGGGTGTCCGCGTCTTCAGCTTTTCTTGTGAGTGTCTTCGATAGGCTTCTCGAAGGCGCCATGGCACATCTGTGGCAAAAAGGTAGCCCTTGCGGTAAGGCGTGTAGCCATAGCGTAAGGCTTGGAAGCAGGCTCTCTTGTATGATCTCTTAATCTAAACGATGCGCGGCCGGGAGACAACTAGGCCGTAGCCTCCTCTAGCCCATACCTCTAAAGGCTTCGTGGAGAAATTTTACTGTGGAGTGAAGGATAGATCTCCACTCTTATCCGGGATTGAGGAATGGATTGAGGAATCCCGGACGCCACCCATGGTTCCGCTCGGCATAAAAGGTGTAGCGTTGGCGTCCATGGTCCCTAGACTTAGAATTAGGGAAATCAGCCTCAAGCCAAACAGGAAGAAGTGCAACCAAAGAAAAACAATCATCAATGTAAAGAAGGCCAGAAAGTTCACAGCACAAGGCAAGATAAATTACGTAAAGATCTACAAAGAAATAGCTACCGTAACTCGAGGCTAAAATAACGCTTACAAAAATCCAATATTCGACACAATAAATTATTCCCTCGGAAGCGACCTTTCGTAAATATATATATTTATATGCATTCTAAATATTCAAATATATTTTTTCGAAATATTTAAAAAGATGTTTAAGAAATTAAATTTGCCCCATAATTCAAATCATTAATAAGCATTAAATCGGAATATCATAATATTTAAATTATCCTTAAACCATACGAAAATCACGAAAACCCTCCCAAAAAAAAAATATATATTTCACAAAACAAATTCTAAATATATATATTCCCTCGAAAAACACCTTTCATAAATAGAATTTCATATACATTCTTGCTAAATGTTCAAAAGGGTTTCAATTATTCTAAAATTATAAAAAGGTTATAATTACGTTCTCAAAAAAAAAAAAAAAATACATTTAGAAGGAGAAAAAAAAAAAAAAAAAAAAATTAAAAAAAAAATTCCAAAAAGGAAGAAAAGAAAACTATATTAAAAAATCAATTCGAAAGGGAAAAGGGAGAAAAAAGGGGGGGGAATTTTAATTAAAAAAAATATTATTAGATCCGGACGTCCCTATATTTGCTTCGTAAAATAAATTCAAAATATCCCCTAAAGGGCTACCTTTCGTGAAAAAGAAATACAAAATCAATAATAAAATCCTAATATAATTATTAAATATATAAATTATCAGGATTTGCAATAATAGAAAATATAATTAATGCATTATTTCCATATGAAAGATTTATTCAAAGAATATATATATATATGTTGGAAATCAATTCCTAATCCAAAGGATCCAATTTTGGATCCAATTCCGTGAACGAATTAATCCACGCCGTTGATTCGTCAAACCAGTACCTCGAGAATAAATTGCCATATTCAAACATATCAAAAAACTCAAGACCTGTTGAACCTATTGAATGCCTTCAAATTGCTGATCGACACGACTTGCGCCAGCAAAAGCACCATTGTAAAGATGCCGCCAGCAGCAGCGTAGACGGCACCCTCCAAAGGAGGCCTCGACTTTCTTTCATGGGGAGATCGAAGGGAAAGAAAAAGGGTCCTTTACACAAGCATGGCCTTCAATTTGAACGGATCAAATTGGTGAGCGATCCTGGAAAAAAAGCCATGGCAGCACCAGCATGATGCACACGGGACCCCTTCGATCTGGCGTCTTCGTCTTCCACGGAGGCGAGCGGAACAGTTCTGGGGTGAATCGGTCCGCTCCCTTTGGTGCCAATATCCAGGGAAGTGAGAGTTGGGCATGTCATCATTGACTCTCAGAGAAGTTCTGAGTTTCTCAATGTTGTGTTGGGAACTTGTTGAATGTTCGCACCCATCCAACCCTTCCATGTCATCTTCCATGTCGTTTTTCAACGTCTTCAGGCTCTGCAGACTGCAGAGCTTGATGTTTTTTGAGATTTGGGGTTCATCCATCTTCCTCACTTCCCAGGCCCTTCCTCCACTTCCACACCAAGCAGCGGCACGCGTTGCTTCTGCCAGATCGTGCCCAATCCCTCCAATCTCGCACGGCGGGCAAACTCCATAAGCCTCTGAGGAGATGAAAAATGGGTTCCAACAGGATGGGGGGTGAGGAACTTCCCCCTCCGCTGGGGTGTCCGATTTGAGCCAAGAGTCTTGGGGGGAAGCATATGCATAATTGTTGGTCGTCATCAAAAATCTTTAAGCTCTGACTCCGTTGAATAGTCATATAATATATAACTCTACCAAAAAGAACTGTCAGCAAACCTGTTGAGGACTGTGCATGCGTGGCCATTCCAAAGGCCAATCCTTGGGTCTCCTTCGCCGAAGCACAGCATCCGCGCATAGGACCACGAAAGCAAGGTCAAGCCCAGCAAAAAGAGGAGAAAGCTCCGGTGGTTATGCGTCCCCACGCACTGGTTGATCCAAACCTCGGACCGTTAGACTTGTCCCTTATTTTGAGCCTCCTCCTACTTAATTGTACAAGTAAGGGCGACTAGTTTGCAGTATAACTCAGGCTTCTTCAAGGAAGCTGCCCCCCGCCTGAGGGCGGGATCTTGATTGAAGAAGCATTCGCACTAACGATTTGCTAATTAGATTTTTGGGGAAACTTAACAAAATCAGGTCTTCCAAAACCACTGACATCTTGCCACACTTGTGGGCACTGTATGATCGCAACTGTGGCCCTGGCACAATGGTGATCTCGTCCATGGATAGATCGCCCACAAATTCTGCACGGAAAGCTTCCAGCACTGAGCTCCTCACAGAGTTGGCCACGGAGGCCACGCAGCCATGTCTATCTTCTGGGATCAAACACCAAAACTGCGAGTCAGTCCCATCAATGCTGAGATGGACTACTGTCACCAGGAAAAAGGATTTGCCTTTAGGTCATTGAACATGAAGACCTCATCAACCGGGAACCGATGACCACCTCGTCAGGGCAAAAAAGGATCTGCAGCACACAATTCGGTCCTCGTCTTTCTTTGGCTTCAGGGCCACCTGTAAGGCATTTTGTCATGCACCAGTTGGTTTTGGCGTCTGCAAACGGGCTAATGCACAGCTTGTCCGCACTAGAGAAATGACCTGTCTCCAACGCGACCAATGCGAAGGGGAGTCCTTGTCAAGACCTTTTCCTTGCCAAGTCCTTATGTATCTACACCCGTTTTGGGCTGGATGTCAGAGTTTCCCCACCGAGCCAACATCAAAAACCGAATGTCCAGGGGGCTCGAGCCCCTCACTCCACCTGACCGCAACACACCCAGTTGAAGTAGAGCCAAAAGCCACCCAAAGCCTATCCCAACTCTGACCGGCAGCAGCAGCTCACTCCCAGCGGCAGAAGCTCCAAAGGTCACCACAACCTCCAGCAGTAGCAAATGGCTAGCCACTCGAGGCCCAAGAGCTTGATTGGGCCAAACCTCCCGTGAATAGTCCCCATAGAGGCCCATGATGGAGAAGAAGACCCAGGCCACCAGGTATTCCGACCTAGACCGATGGGGCGAAATCAAATAACCATGAACTGCCGCAACGGCCCGTTTCACTTAATCAGAGGCTGGTTGGGCAAGTTGATCTCTTCTTGTTCTTGTACACGCACCCAAATCATCGGTATGATCTATTTTTCACGTCCATTTGCAAGCACAACGTCCGGATTCGGGCATCGAATCAAATCGAAAAGAAAAGTAGAAAATGGTGGGATCTTCCTAACAGCAGAAGATCAGTTGTGAGAACTGATGGCTCTCTCCACCTGGCCTCATCGGCAGCGCCAAGCACATCAAATGGATCAGCAGCAGATGACCAAAGCCCAACAGGAGCCAACCAGCAACCCAGGGGAGCCAAGTGGACAGCTCCAGGAGCCTGTTCTTTTTCCAGCACTCCACTCCGGGTGGATCGGGTTGGCTGGGGCCGTCACGAGTCCGGCAGTGTCGTCACGGTAGACAAAACGGTTCTGAAGTACATTCAGTCTCTTGCGCCCCCCAAGAGCCCTTGTCAAAAGGGACGAAGCGAGGTCCTTCATCCCACTCCGAGTCAACATGTGGATGGCACTGACATCCTTGTAGAGAATTTCATGGTCTTCCAGACCTTTACGTGCAGCCTGACCCAGGTCCAAACCTGGTCCTGAAAACCTGTGTTGAGCAGTGTTTTTGATCAACTTCAGCAAAATGGGGTCCGTTTCCTGACCTGTCGGGGAATTCGGCACCCACGATCCTTTCGGGCGTCGACTTCAGGCTCGTTCGGCTCGTTCGGCTTCAGGCTTCGGCTTCATTGGGAGCACCGACGCTGGATCCAACCAGTCGGACAAAAGCGCTCGGTCCGACGGCTGACTCTCCACTCTCCCGGCTCGTCCGACCTCCGGAGTGCCCAGAGCACCAGCAGCGCGGCCCAGGCGCCGGGCCACGGCACTTCGACGGCGCCTCCGGGCCACGGCATCCGAAAGCGCTCGGCGCAGCTCCAGCAGACGCGCCGCAGCTTCTCCCGCAGCGCGGGGCCTCCAAGACGAAGGAGGGTCGTCGATGGGAAGCTGGACTGCTGGACTGGTGGAGCAAACGGGGTTTGGTCGAATGTTTGTGTGGTTGCGTGGCTAACTGCCATACTAGAGAGATTGGTGTTCGGGCGAGCTCTCCATTGTTTGGAGAAGATGACGGTGCCGGTGCAAAAAGAAAAGCGGGAACCCTTCGCCGATTCTCAACGTGCAATCTCAGCAGCTCAGCAGCATGCTCCATTGAAGTACACTCTTGGTGTCTCTTCATGTGTCGTGTGGAGTCTCTCAACCGGAAATCACGGCACCTACGGGCTCTAAAACATCCACCCCAAAACACCGATATACCGAGTCAACCAGTTAGGCGTTTTCACCGCGAGAAACGGTCCGACGATCCTGTACACACTTGACCTCTCAATCGCTGCTTGACCAAGCAGTCAACGCTCCTTGCAACCGCTGGCCCTCGCAACAGCACTTGATGCAGTCATCCGCCAGGCTATCCAAATCGTTGCACTCGCAAAAGCATTGCAAGACCTTGAAGTTCCCAGAGGCAGGAGAGACTCGGAGACACGCTGAAACATGATACTTTATACAGTAGAGCCTTCTTGACTTGAGGGTGTCCATGGAACTAACAATGGTCAAGTTTCAAGGAAATGCCCATCCTACAACCTCGAGGGGGGTCCTACACCATGAGCCCATCCAGTTGCAGTTCTTGCACGATCCGTCTCTTCAGAGATAGATCAAAGTCTTTCACAAAACGGTCTGTAACCAATTTTGCAGCGGCTTCACCTGTTTCCTTCACCAGTCCGCAAAGAACACAAGAAACGTGCTGAAGCTACTTGCGCACGATTTTGGATACACAGCCACCTCCGCCTTGCGTATCCTTTGCAACCTTCGTCCGCTGAAAAAACGGTGCCCCGGCAATGCTTCCGGCCACGCAGCATGACGCACTTCACCATCCTCCCGGAGGTATTCGCAGCAGTTCCTTGCAACCGAAATGAGACCAACAAGACTTTCTCATTGTGGAGGTAGTCAATTTCAATGACCCTTTTCGCAAAAGAAACCTGCGAAAGACCGGAGGTTCCCTCAACAACCGAAGGACAACGTTCTGGACACGTTGGGGACAATGAACAAGGAATCCACGACGACGACCGAGGAAATTGCCGTTGGACTTGGGCAGGTCTGAGACAAAGAAAGGAAGCAAAGGCAGCGAAGACAGGAGTTTTGAAGTACAGCTCAGTTTCATTTCCTCATCTTCTTCCAAATCCATGGCTGACTTTGAGCACATGGTGTCGGATTCGATTCTTCACAAGTTCTTGCAGCAAAGCTTGAAACCATCCGTGCATTGGTGTGAAAGCTGAGAATTTCCTCAAACTACTTAAAGCTTGGATGACAAGGCCAGCGTCTGTGTTCTTCTTTAATTCCATGTCGGAATCACTTGAATTGTGATTCAAACCAATTTCCACCGCTGTGGCCACAGAATCCTTTGGCATGTCGGCACCCCATGATGCTCCGGAGCGGACTTCAGGTGGGATTTGGCTCGAGCCAAGGCAACGCCGCACCCAAACGGTCCGGAGCGGACTTCAGGTGGGATTTGGCTCGAGCCAAGGCAACGCCGCACCGAAAATGGCTGGGCAGAGACTGGGCTCTGACTCTGGGCACTCCGAGCACTCTAAACCCGAGGAGTGCACAAGCAGTAGAAGCCCCTAATGTGGCTAGCGGACATCCCGCATTCTGGGACACTCTTTCGGTATAGACCTCTTGGCTCTTGGTGTGACTGTTCCTGGTCCATTTCCAGCCCTTCCAGCTTCAGTTCGCAGTCGTGCTCTTTTTGCTCTGGGGCGCACTTTGGTGCCTCAATTCTCGGTGAGAAAGAAGTCCTCCTGGACGCTCACGGGCGGAACTTGCGGAGCTTGCGACCGGGAGTCCACTCTGTTTGTCGTTCTCTGACTCGTTGAGTCACCGGAGATCCAACGGTTCTTGAAAGCAGAATCTAGATCGCCAATGTGCTGGCATCCATGACCTATTTAGGGGTGACATCTGCCCTGAAACAGGGATCCTGTTCAAAGGTGGCTACGAGATTGAAAATAGACACTTGGCAATTTCATGTTGTGCCCTTCACTTGAGTAGGGGTCCAGCTGCCCTGCGTTCGGGTGAGGCGTCGGCCGATGGCGTCCTCTGCGAATGAAAGCTCCGGAGGCAAAGAATCTCCTGGCCAGTGCAGGGTCTGCAGTCTGCTGTCTGAATCGACATCCAAGAGCAGCCTCCTAGAGTCTCCATCAAGAACCACCCAAAATGACCAGACCGTAGCACCTATTTCTTCCCGCAGCACCGGAAAAGGCTGCCTGTGCTGCGACTGACCCACAAAAGGGACGCTGAAAAACCCTCGACTCCGTCGACTTCATGACTCGTGCTTTTTTGAGGTCTGACCGAGTCTGAGAGAAAAGATGGCCAGGAGTCAAACAAGAATGGCAAAACCAGTGGACCGGACAGGGCGCTCCGCCGGCTCGGCTCTCGGCTCTTCTGATCCCGGACCGGACCGGACCGGACCGGTGGACCGGATCGGATCGATCGGATGCGATGAGCACGGATCGGTGGCCAGAGTCTAACATCATCCAACTCATCAAACTGGCCTGGTAAACAAGTGACAACTGGTGTTTTTTCAACTCATCCAACTCTATCATCGAACTGGTGAAACAAATCGTCAAACTCAAAACGGAACAACTAAGTCACCCTATTGAAGTACAGGGGGGGGGGTGCGTCGGCCTCGCAACCCGCACGTCCCCCACACGTCCGCCGTCCTTCCGATTCTTCCGGCTCAGGCACCGCGTCCTGGGTGCGTCCAGACGCAAAAAAGAGGGAACAAAGTCTTTATGGCATCGTCCTGCAATTTGGCATCTCAAAAATGACATCGTCGCGGAAAGCTCCACTCTGGTCTAATCTGTATGTTTAAACAAAATATCGTATAATAACAATAGTAAAGTAGTAATAACAATAATGACATATAATGACAAAACATCAACCAACTGTCCCCCGCCATGAAAAAGAACACCTGCCAGAAAAGAAAAGATCTCTTCACATCCCTCTCGGTTCCTTGCCCTCCAGTCCTTCAGTCCGGCGGCACCGCCCCCGGGACGCGCCTGCGCTCCGGGACGCCAAGGCTCGGTGCTGGCCTCGAGAACGAGTCGGCCTCCACCCTACTAGCGATGTGTTCCGCAGATGCCTATTTGGGTGAAATGCTCCAATTGCTGTCCTCGGATTCTTCTAGTGGCGGTTCCCACGAACGAGATGGACCAAACGGCGTGCGGATCATCACCGAGGCAAAGCTGGTTGGTGCTTGGAAGGCTCCCACCTAGGCCGCTGAGGCTGGAGCTGCTTTCGGCATCACCTCCAGTGGAAGTCAACGTGCAAAAAGGGAATGGACTGGCCCGAGACCCCTACTAGCTCCTATGGTGCCTGACACTTGGTCTCTGCAGCCGTTGACAACTTGCTCTGTTCCCCCGGCATTTGCAGCTTTCAAGCCAACATCAACTGTTCCTGTGTCACAAGCTCATCAACGAGTCGGAGAACTTACAACTTTCCACCGTTCCAACTCATTCTGTTCGTGATCGAGCTCTGGAGAAGCATCTTTTTCCCGACTCAACACACCAACGCACCTGCAGTGCCGCACTCCGTGGCTTGTGGCACTTCATGATCGCCTGGGGAAAACGAAGGTCCGTGACAGCGGGAGGCAAATCCAACGCGCAATCCGACAAAAAGCTGCTGGAAGAGATTCAGGAATCCTCGTTTAGCGAAATCCACCAACTGGTCTTCAAGTATGCAAAGTCACCAACGAAGGTTTAGGGACCCGTGTTTTGGGAGAGGGTCCTCAGCATTTTCGCTCAACCCTGCCTGCGTTTGTGCTGCCAGCTGAGCCTGGCAAGTTCGGAACTGGCACTCTCAGTGGAGGGGTGTTCTGGGGACTCAAGTCCGAAGACTGCCCCAGTTCCGTGCACTCGGAGAGAGTCCGTCGGAGAAGAAGACTCCCAGTTCGCTTTCATCTCCGCGACCTATGGGACGGACCACCTGCGGGACTTGCTCCTTGAGAAAAGCCTTGCTCGTTGCTACTCAGAATAGATGGGAGACCAGCCGTGCGACACCCAACGCTAGCGCTAGACAGGCCCCGTCTCCACCTTCGCTGTGCTTCGAGACGGATGGGACATACCTTCAGAAAGAGGCGGATGGGACATACCTCTTTTTTCGGAAAAATGCGTCACATCTCACGAAATGTTGCAGAAAAAGATTCCTGTATTGAGGATGTTGAGCTGCAAAAAAGAAACAACCTACAGAATGCCATTCTTAAAATGATTGCTGAAGATTCTGCCATGCTGTTCTTGCTCACCTGGACTTGACCCACAATTATCTGAGTTCCAGCGTGCGCTCAATAAACAGCACACGTTCTAAAGCTTTTCATATCGTGGATTTGAGAAATGTTATCTCTGAAAGACCTGACCAAGCAAAAATTGAGTATGTAGCACTTTTGCGGGATACACTACAAAGATCTGACACACAAGCCTAGTGCCGGGATGCGTAGCTGAGCAGATGGCAAACAGCACAGACTTGTGTTTGTTTCTACTCAGATGCAACAACCCTACGCAAATAACTTATGGAAGTGCGAGCCTGCGCAAGCTTACGCACACCGGTATCAAGTAAGCAGCCTACACGGCAGTTGAGTTCCCTCTTCATCCTCTTTCCATCTCAAACAAAATGCTGCTCATTCGAACCTGCACACCGTCGCATGGTTACTGTCCCATCTTGTCGGGAAAGTGCAGGAGTGTTTCGTTGAGAATAATCCTTAAGAATTGGTTTTGACCAGGGGTGTGTAAGGACTCTTTACAGGGGTATACTCAAGGAGTGTACATGAGGGTACTACAGTTTGCGCAACCGCAGTACTGGGGATCTGCAAGGTCCTCATCCCCGCCCACAGCTCACTCAGCATGCTGGTGCCCAGCGCCCTTGGCGGACCTGGTGAGAAGGTCGCACCCCCCATAGGGCAGGTTTCGACTGAGCAGCTTTGGAACCCACTCAGCAGGTCAAAAGGCTCATCGATGAAGAAAGTTGCAAAGACGCGGCTCGTTCGTGGCTTCGCAGTAAAAAGCAACCTAGAGCCTATACTATATACTTGTTTCATATGTTTTTACATCTACGTTCAACTACGTTCCAATTCAAACCCACCATCTGGTGCAGTCTCCCTCACACTGCCATGCTCCTGCCTGTTCGGCCCCTGCCATCGGCAGTTCCGTCCTCCGTCTCGCGTGGCGACTCCATGTTCTGGGCGAACACGGCGAGCCAAATGCGAGGCTGACAGAGCAGTCGACGGAGGAACAGTCTTCAAACTTGGCAGGAAAAAGACATCCTGAGGCCTGAGGATGTTTCTAAAGTCCTTCCCAAATCGAGAGGGTGAATGGGTCCCCCGAAACACCTGCCAAATGTGCTATAACACTAGTGTGTCGGTCAACCGCTGGACCCAGCTGGATAAAAAAAGATGGGAATGAGACCATCAGGGTCTGCACCTCTCAACAACCACTGCACCTCTGTCCACCACCATTACAGCACCCAAGTCGTACCCCCAGCGACCGCAACGCCGAGGTCGCGACCACGAGGCGGCGCAGGCGGGAGACCAGCCCCGTCGAAGGGCTGGGAGCTCCTGCGGCTGCCAGGGACGTCTCGCTTCGCATCGGAGCGGGGGGGCGGGGGAGCTGTTGACTCGGAGCGACTGATGAATTGAACTGCCAGTGTCCAGGACCATCCTGTCAGGGTGTCCTGCTGGACTACCCTGCAACACTTAGGGATCTCTATTGAACACCCATTGGATGGTACAGGTATGTATTCAATGTGTTTTCGTATCAGTTCTATGGGTTCGGGAGGAGTCTTTGATGCATCCAAGCGCTGATGTCAGGGAATTTGAGGAGCTGGAATTGAAGCTGACCATTTTAGGAGCAACACCTGGCAGGGCCTGGCTCAGGGGCCTGGCGGTTCCAAACAAGAAACAAGACACAGCGAATCAGCCGGGGTGATCCTGAAATTCCACGTCATCTCTCAGAGAGCGGCTCAAGATTGATATGATGGATCCCCCAAGGTGCATTCTCCGAAAAGGAAACGTGTTCTTAAGTTTGAGAACTGGGGGGGCCAACTCTTGCAAAGAGGGAGGACTTGTTCGGGGCAAACTCCTTTGACGTGAGAATCCTTTCGGTTTCAAGACCTTGACCTGTCACCTTTCTACTGGCCGTACGAAGCTTGAACACCTTCATGAACGGATGGATTTTCAGCTTGACACCCCACGTCGGCGCTCGCGTTCGGCTGGACTCGAAGGTCTGAAGAAGTCCGTCTTCACAAAGGACTGAGGACCAACTCCTGCCGCACTTCGGTCTGAGGGCCCCCAGCGCGAAGACTGCGACGAGGGCCGCCGACCACGGAGGGCTGGTGCCTTGCAACGACAAGGAATAAGAGAGAGAGAGAGAGATTCTTGGTCGTTTCGAGAAAGGTTTGAAGTACATGCTGTGTTTTGCCTGGGTGCGTTTTCAAACTCTAAAGTCATCCGAGCTGGGACTTTTCGTCCGGGTTCTTTTTGTCGGCTTGTTTGCAGCTTCAACATGGGAAGGTTCTGAAGTTGTGCTTAAAGAAGAACGGTGGAGACTGGAATTTTGTTCACTGCGTGCAAAAACATGTGAATGTATACAGTGTGTATATATATATGTTTTAAAGGCTAGTTCACCAGAACATCATAAGCAAAAACAAAGGGGAGCAGTGGGAGGATGTCTGACTGATGGAGAAAAGGGATCAACAACAAAAGAACTGACCCTCAAATTTCTGAGCTCTTCTTCAAGAACTAGGAACTGGGCACTTCCCCCAAACAGTTCTGGCAATCAACCGAACCACGAACAACCAACCCCCAATGACATAGATTTCAAAAACAACTCCCAAATGATCAAAGCATCTTTTGCAACAAAAACAATCATTCATGCACTGCGCCTGTGCTCTGTCTTCACAGCTGCTGAAGCGG